GTTTGCTTAGGGAGAGTTGATGATGTGTGAGTTTGGGTTCCACAGTGACCAAAGTAATATAAAGAGTTCTTTGATGTGTTGAGTCAACTCTTGATGCTCTTGTGTCGCACTTAATCCATGGTGTTTCAAAGAGTAAAATGTTGTTAATGATTCATTTATATTGAGGGCAATTGTTAGTCCCAATTGATGCTAGATGAGGGCACTTTAGGATAGCTGAATCTTTTTGGCATTTTTCTTAAGAGGTGGGTCTCATTTTGTTTGATTGAGGACAAGCAAAATCTTAAGTTTAGGGGAGTTGATAACTAGGGATTTTGATACATTTTACACTCTTTCTTGCTTATGTTTTGATTAGAAATTTGTACAAAATAGTTCCAAAAGGCTCACAAGTTGTGCTTCATTGCAGGTTTGATCAACAAAGTGACAAGATGTCAAAGATCAGCTCAAAAAGGAGTGAAACTTGCACATGTACTAAGACAAGACAAAGCTCAGGCAAAACAGGCCCAATGCAGCCGCACACCATTCTGTGAGGTCTGCACAAGTAAGGTTTAGAGAGGTTGATTTCCAGGCCAACAGGCAATGCGGCCACATGAGATTTAATGCGGTTCGCATTAGAGTCACTGCAGCCGCACTCGATTTAGTGCGGTCCACAGAACCAAGAATCAGAGAAGTGCCAGTTTGGAGTTTGAAGCCCAATGCGGTCCGCGCTCTATTTCATGCGGACCGCACTAGAAGCCACCGCGGCCGCACTCGATTTTGTGCGATCCGCATTGCCCGAGTTCAGAGAGCTGAATTTTAAGTCAAGAGCCTTAGTGCGGCCGCACGTGATTTTGTGCGGTTCGCACTAGCCCCACATGGGTATTTTTGTCTAGATTTTTCAGCTTGGTATAAATAGCTTTTTTTCCCATTTTTAGGTTATCAGATAGTTTTGGTACTGGGCTGCGCTCGTGACTTCGAATATTTTAGCTATTTTGAGTAATTTAAACTTCATTTCAACATTAAATCTTCTAGTTTATCTTAGCAATTAATTAATATGAGTTTTTCTTCATCTATTTCTTTGTTTTCTTCTCTAATTATGAGTAGCTAGACCCATAATCTAGGGTTGTGGCTTAACCCTAGTATGGGTAATTGATGGGTCTTGTGTTTTCGAGCTAGATTGACTATGGGTATTTGATATTTGGTCTAATTTCATGTTTACTTGTTAAATTAGTGGTTGCAAATACTAGTTTGTGTTTAGTTGACTTTGGCTCTTCTTGAAAAAGAGAGCCTAAGTCTCTGAAATTGGTCCAACAAGGAATTGGGGCGTACTCAAGAGATTGATAACCCCAATTAAAGGGTTAAACCTTGAGATAGTAATATCTGACTTGAACCTTGATTGCTTGTGCAAATTTGCATACCCAATTGGTCTTGAGAAAGTCAATTCGGACAAAATCACTTGAACCATCGAGAGGTGTAAAGTGGGTAAAATCGTGAAACGGTTATATCATACTCCCCAAATATGTCAATCATGCCTTAGACTCAAGTATCCGTCAATTGACCACCTAGGCGAAAGTCACTACCCTAGTGCCTTTTAACCATTTGAACAACTCGCAATAGTTTACTCTTAGCTTATTCTAGTTTAATTTAGCATTGTAGTTTGATAAAATTAGGATTAAATCAAAAACCCAAAAATGTTAAGAAGTGCAATTTGGAGCACATACATAACTCCACTTTAGACAGACACCCGACTCCAACTTCTAGCTCCATGTGGAAATCGATCCCGACCTTAATCGGGTAAAAGCTGCTTCGACCCTCTCTCGCTACTCAATAGTAGTGCAGGGTTGGCCTCGATCAGTGACACGCAAATAAAAGCAATAAGAGATTATTTTTGTCTCGTAGTTATTGTTCAAAAGTGTTCTTTATTTGTTCTCTTCTTTATTCGCGGCTGAGCTTGTACCGACGGTCCAATCATAGACAAATTTTACTGTTCAATCTAAGATCAGGCTTGCTCATCACATTGTGTTTGGTTTGATCATTTATTTTATCTTTAATCTATTTATATGTTGTTCTTAATTGTTCGTATTGAATTAAATCGCATATCCTTAAAACTACGTACAAATTTAATTGTTATTCAATTTTTAGGGTAAACAAGCTAAAAAATGAACAAAAAGAAAACTCAATAAAAATTCAAGCTCCGAAAATCAAGCATAAAAGAAGACTAAGGGGTCATTTGGTAGGAGGTATTAGAAAAAATAATGCAAGTATTATGTCACGGGCTTAACTCTAGTAAGCGACGTGCGGACAACTAGACAGCCGTTACTGCTTCTAGTCTCAGTCCTAACGAAATAGCAAGCACAAAGTCGTGCTCAAGATAAGGCAAACACACAAAAAGCTGGAAAGACAATGAAATGAAAGGCACACAAAGAATGGGAGGCCAAGGCCAATTTTCTGATTTACTTGATAAACAAAGGAAAAATACAAAGTGTATATGAGTTGCCTTCTAACAAGGCCTAAGCATGCCTATTTATATACAAAACTGTCCACTGATGGGTATGGTTGGCAATGGACCCGTCCAGCTGTGAAGCACTGCACTAAGTGACTTCCATCATTATGTTGGCAAGTTTCCTACCTGTGGCCCCGTCCAGCTGCTGTGCACTAATTCCTGCTGGCCCAGATTGGCTCCCATGATTGTGCTGACAGGTTGTGGCCTTACCCAGCTGTGCAGCACTTATTTTTGTTGGCAGAGGGTGGCTGCCATAATTGTCCCAGTGGGTCGTGGGGTCGTGTCCTCCATGTGTAGAGATTACCTGGCTTTTGGCAGCCAGGTTTGACTCGGTTTGTGGCCCCTTAGGCGGCAAAATCAGTAACGAGTTTGGCGGGTCGGCACACACTCCCCCACTTGAAATGGCGATGACCGCAATGCCACAAAGGCTCAAGTAATCATGGACTTGATCTTTGAAATGCCATAGATCCTCGTACTTTTCCCATGATGCCTCCTCCGGTGACTGTCCCTTCCAATGAACAAGAAATTGGGCACTCGAGTTGCCCCAACCTTTGCCTCGGACTAGTTGGTGATCAATGATCGCCTCAATCTTCTTGTCAATGGCAGAAGGTGTGATGAAAATTTGGGCACGGCTGGACTGCCCGTTCTGCATCATCCTTGTCTTCATAATATGGCTTGAGTTGGCTAGCATGGAAAACAGGATGGATCTTCAAATGATGAGGCATGTTCAGCTTAAAAGAAATCTTGCCAACCTTGGCAGTGATTTCAAATGGTCCCTCGTAGCGTCGAATCAAGTTTTGATTGATTCCCTTCAATGATTTGAACTGCCGAGGATTGAGTTTAACCATCACTTTATACCCAATTCTGTAGTTCACCGAACGCCTCTTACGATCGGCAAACTTTTTCATCTTGTGGGCGGCCTTATCTAAGTAAGACCTCGCCATATCCATTTGCTCCTCCCAAGCTTTCGCCATATGAAACGCCCCTGGGTTCCTTAATTCTGCACTCGTGGGTAAAGATTGAGGAGCGTTAGGCTGCTGCCCCTTTGCAAGTTCGAAAGGGCTCCTCCCGGTCGATTCACTGCGTTGCAGGTTGTATGAAAACTGGGCAGTGTCAAGTAGCTTGGCCCAGTCCTTTTGGTTGGAACTAACAAAGTGCCTCAAATATAGCTTCAAGAGAGCATTGATCCTTTCCGTTTGACCATCCTTTTGTGGATGAAAACTGGTGGAGAAGTGCAACTCCGATCCCAACAAGTTGAATAGCTCTCTCCAAGAGGCACCGGTAAAACGAGGATCACGATCGCTTATGATGTGTTTCGGAATGCCCCAATGTTTTACCACGTCTCTGAGAAACAAGCGTGTTGCCTCCTTAGCTTTGCAATTAGCGGTGGTGGCAGTAAATGTTGTATATTTTGAAAACCGATCGACCACTACCATGATTGTGCCAAAGCCCTCCGAGTTTGGCAGATACGTGACGAAATCCATGGTGACATTGTCCCATGGTTTTTTCGCTATTGGTAAAGGCTCAAGAAAGCCTCCCGGTACTTTGTGTTCAACTTTTTCCTGTGGCACACAAGACACGTTCGGACGTACACTTCAATGTCATCCTTTATATGCGGCCAATAATATGATGCCTCTAACAATGCCAAAGTGCGCTTTTGGCCTGGATGTCCTGCCCAAACTGTGTCGTGCCCCTCTTTGATTAAGGTTCGCCTAAGGTTGCCCCATTTAGGCATAAAGATGCATCTGCCGGTAGTATACAGAAGACCATTTTCCACCCAAAACTTCTTTGTCTTGCCTTGGCTGTCCAAGTCAAGAAGTTGCTTTGCCACCGGATCATGTTGCATTCCTTCCTTGATTGCATCAAGGATATCGCTGCTGGTTGTGCTGACAATTGGTGCCAGCACTGCCTTCTGACTCAATGCATCGGCAACAATATTAGCTTTCCCCGGCTTATACTCCAAGGAATAGTCAAATTCCGCCAAGAAATTTTGCCACCTTGCTTGCTTGGGTGAGAACTTCTTTTGTGACTGGAAATAACTCATCGCCACATTATCCGTTTTGACGACAAAAGGGGCTCCCAACAAGTAATGGCGCCAGGTCCTAAGGCAATGAACTACTGTCGTCATCTCCTTCTCTTGGACCGTATACCGACGCTCCGCATCATTCAATTTTCTGCTCTCAAAGGCTGTTGGATGGCCCTCTTGCATTAAGACTCCCCCAATAGCAAAATCATATGCATCTGTATGGATTTCAAAGACTTTCGAAAAGTCTGGTAAGGCCAAAACAGGCTCCTCCGTAATTGCTGATTTGAGCCCCTCGAATGCCTCTTTACACAATTCGGTCTACTCCCAGGAATGATCCTTCTTCAGTAAGTCTGTGAGCAGAGCCGCAATTGTTGAGTAGCCAAGAATGAATCGTCGGTAATAGTTGGCAATGCCAAGAAAGGACCGCAACTCGGTTACCTTCGTTGGGGCCTCCCAATCTCTAATCGCTGCGACTTTGTGGCTGTCCATACGAATCTATCCCTGGCTGATCGTATGCCCTAGAAATTTCACTTGGGGTTGGGCAAATGAACACTTCTCCCTCTTCACGAACAGGTTGTTTTCCCTTAGAATTTGGAAAACTTTGCGGAGGTGATCAAGATGTTCCTCCATGCTGCTGCTATAGATCACAATGTCATCAAGATAGATGACTACAAACTGATCCAAAAAGGGGTGGAACAGCTTGTTCATTAATGTGCAAAATGTTGCGGGGGCGTTGGTTAAGCCAAACGGCATCACCAACCACTCAAAGGCTCCATAACGGGTTACACAAGTCATCTTCGGTTCATCTCCTTCGGCTATGCGGACTTGATAATATCCTTTCCTTAAATCTATCTTGGTAAATACCTTGGCTTGGCCAAGACAATCAAACAAATCTGCTATCAAAGGGATTGGATATTTGTTTTTCACCATGACTTTGTTGAGTGCACGATAGTCTATGCACAGTCGTAATGACCCATCTTGCTTCTTTTGGAACAAGACTGGTGCTCCAAATGGCGCCTTTGACGGTCTAACGTGTCCCGCTTCAAGAAACTCCTTCAGTTGCTTCCTCAATTCCTCCAATTCTGGATGTGCCATGCGATACGGACCCATGGCAGGTGGCTTTGCTCCCGGAATCAGCTCAATCTGATGATCCACCTCTCTTCGTGGTGGCAAACATTTGGGAAGTTCTTCCGGCATAACATCCCTGTTTTCATCAAGAACCCTCTGCATATATGGGGGCAAGGTCTCATCAACCTTGACCTCATCAATCTTAGTTATGGCTGCTAAGAAGGTGGCTTCTCCTCTCTTGAAGCCCTTCACAAGCTGCATTGCTGATAATTGACCCATGACTTATGGCACACAAAGGGTTGGTACCACACAAGGACCCCTTTGATCATAAATATAGATTTGGTTAAGGCTGGGGGAAATGAATTCCATGACTTCATCCCAATAGTCCAGACCCAATCTATATCAAACACGTCCATAGGAGCGACGAAGAAACTCACACTCCCTTGCCAAGCTCCTAAATTGAGTTGCACATTGTGAGCAACTCCATTTATGTTTGTGAGATTGGCATTGACTGTTTTTAACAGAGAACTGTTGGGACTAAAAGTAAGGCCGAGTGATCTAGCCTTTGCTTCAGTCACGAAGTTGTGTGTCGCCCCAGTGTTGACCATGATGCGAACGGGTTGTCCGTTAAGCTTCGCATCCACAAACAGTGATCCTTTTTGCTTCAACCTGGGTTCCTTGCCCATCATAGCACCAAGTAAAGTCTGACCCATTTGGGCAAGGTCAGGTTTGTCCCGAGCAACCTGCTTCAAAGCAGGCTCTTTGGTCAGCAATGCACCGAGCATCATGTGGCCAATATGCGCCACATTTTGTCTCCCTTGAGCAGCAGCCTCGCCTGCTTGCATATCCGTTTGTGTTGCACCTTCTTGCCTCCGTTCCGCTGCGATTAAGGCACTGAGCTTGACCAAAGAAGGACAATCTCTGTAGTGATGGCCAGGGTCTTTGCAAAGATAACAACTATTGTGTGGACCATTTGCCTTCTTCTTTTCATTGTACCTGTCGCGCCAGTGAGAATTGTGGTTGCCTTCTCCTTTGGAATCACGATTGGGGCCAGCAATTTGCTTGCCTTTGTCTCGATATGTACGATCTCCTCCAGATCTGACGGGTTTGCTCTTGGTGTCCCTTGGCTTGGTGGCTTCTGTCCTAAAATCCGTCAAGGACTCCGCCACAGCGATAGCTTCATCGACGTCCTTCACTTGACGTCGCTACAACTCCTGTTTGGCCCAGTTTTGAAGGACATCCATGAAATAAAACAACAAGTACTCACTTGACATGTTGGGGATCTGTAAAATGAGTTTGGTGAATTCCTTTACATACACACGAATGGAAGTTGTTTGCTTCAGTTCTCTCAACTTCCGATGAGCCTCATTGACGACGTTTTGTGGATAAAACTGTCGTTTTAGCTCGAACTTGAACTGTTCCCACGTTTGGATGGAGCAAGTGCCTTTCTCAATCTCGGTTTCCTTCCTCCGCCACCAAAGCATGGCGGTGTCGGTAAGGTACATCGTTACGGCCCTGATTTTGGCAGCCTCGTCAACGATGTTGAGGTGCTCATAGTAGTCCTCCATTTTCCAAATGAAGTTCTCAACGTCTTGAGTGCTTCTTTCGCCTCTGAACTCTTTGGGTTTAGGGGCATCTATTTTGGTTTCACGAATCGTCACAGGACTAGTGCTACCGGCAAGCCTTACTGCCTCTAATTGTTGCTTTAGAATCTCAACCTCCCTGTGCAACATTGAGACAGCCTCGGTCAGCTTGAGCTCAAGGTTGGTTAGTCCTTTCTTGTGCTCCTCGGTCATTTGATCCACGTCTTCCTTGACGTCTCCCAGCTTTTCTAAGGCAGTAGACTTAAGTGAAGCGAAGTTGCCTTCAACAACTTCAAGACGCTAGTTTAAAGCAGCTAAACCAGCCTTAGTGAGGTCTACTCCCTCGTCTAAGCGGCTCGATGCAGAACCATCACCTTCCTCGCCATGACTAACCTGTTGTGGGGGTGGCTCATAGGAAACGCCCTCACTTGTTATGGCTATGGCAGTATCTCGCGCCTTGCTCGTCCCTCTTCTCTTTGGTTTATGCTTCTTTGTTGGTGACTCGTCTCTCCCACGAATGTTACCCAAAACACCATTGTCTCCTTCGTTTGCCATGTCTCTCGCCTTTGTTCTGATACCAGTTGTCGCGGGCTTAACTCTAGTAAGTGGCGTGCGGACAACTAGACAGTCGTTACTGCTTCTAGTCTCAGTCCTAACGAAATAGCAAGCACAAAGTCGTGCTCAAGCTAAGGCAAACACACAAAAAACTGGAAAGACAATGAAATGAAAGGCACACAAAGAATGGGAGGCCAAGGCTAATTTTCTGATTTACTTGATAAACAAAGGGAAAATACAAAGTGTATATGATATACCTTCTAACAAGGCCTAAGCATGCCTATTTATATACAAAATTGTCCACTGATGGGTATGGTTGGAAGTGGACCCGTCCAGCTGTAAGGCACTGCACTAAGTGACTTCCATCATTTTGTTGGCAGGTTTCCTGCCTGTGGCCCCGTCCAGCTGCTGTGCACTAATTCCTGCTGGCCCAGATTGGCTCCCATGATTGTGCTGACAGGTTGTGGCCTTACCCAGTTGTGTAGCACCTGTTATTGTCCCAGTGGACAGTGGGGCTGTGTCCTCATGTGCAAAGATTCTCTGGCTTTTGGCAGCCAGGTTTGACTCGGTTTGTGGCCCCTTAGGCGGCAAAATCAGTAACGAGTTTGGCGGGTCGGCACAATTAGCTGTATGCATTACTAATACCTTGTTTGGTACATTTTTTTAACATGGGTATAACTAATACTATGCATTAGTAATGCATAGAATACCATGGCATTAGTAATACCAAGGCTATTAATGCATGCATTAGCATGTTTAAAGACAAAATTGTCCTTAAAGTCCTTTAAAGCTAGAGAATATGGAGGACATTTTTGTAAACAACTATTTTTCTTAAAAATTATGCAATGCATTATAATTTTAATACACCACACCAAACAGTAGATAAGAAATAATATATGCACAACTAATGATTGTATTACTAACACATATATTATTAATACACTTTATTCCGCATTATTCTTATATTTCCTACCAAATCACCCCTTAATACAAAAAGAAGAGACAACACGCATGTGAGACGACATATAAGTGACATACCCTCGTACGAGACAGAACAAGAATTTGTAGTAATTCGAAATGAGTAACTATCGGAAAACGTTAAGAGGATTAACTCTATAGTTTACTTGTTTACACGTGGTAACTTTCTGATGATCCTTATATAAGGATGGTTCTGTCATTGCTTGTGAACCATAATAAGTGATTTTTTATCTTTTTTATTTTGGTACTACTTCAGTGACCTTTTATATAATAAAACCAAATTAATTTTAGAGAAAATGAATAAAGACCTCATTGAATTTGTTCCGAAAAATTATTTACACATCTTAACTTTACGGGTGTCCTAACACCCTACTATTCTTATCTAAACTAAATTTAATACTTTCTTCAAAGTACCGAATCAGTCTCGTGGTGGACTGTGTTAACACACGCCGTGTATCATATACTGCACTATTTCTTTTTCTTTTTTTATTACTTTTTATTTCCTTTTTTCACTCTTTTTTCATTTTATTTTCTCCACCTTCCTTCATCATTATTTTCGTAGCCCACTACCTTGAAAGGCACTCACAACACATAACCTACCTTGAACCCATAAACTCCATCTCTGAAAAATTAGAATCATCTCCCCTACCACTCCACTTTAACACCTCTAATTTGATTATTTTTCCTTCACATCAAACTCACCAAAGAAAATCCACACACCGAGATCGAAGAGAAAGGAGAGAAAATTTCTTGTACGAAAAATGATATTGGCAAACATCAAACTCTCCAATCAAGTATTAAAATTATTTCAACCTAAATCCACGACTCAATTGCTTAAGAGAACTTATGTTTCTATTAAATCGAGGAGATTAAAGGGACAAAATATGAGCAATGAAATGGAATAAAGGTAGGTGAATATGGCGAAGGAAACAGAGGAGTGGGAATAGAGATTCAACAAGAAAAAGAAAAGAAACAAAAAATAAAACATGACTTAGTTTCAAAAATTGGGAAGAAGAGGGTGATAATGGTTCTGTTAAAATAGAGAAAGAGAAAAAGAAACGAAAAAGAAAAGAAAAATAAATAAGAAAAGAGAAAAAATTAGTTTGAAGTTTAATTAGTTAGAGTATACAATAAGAAAGTGACACCTAGACAATTAAATTAGTTTTAAAATGCTTTTTTTTTGCCTAACGCGCGTCTACGAAATGAACCTACACTTTTCATGTCAGGCCATCACTCAATGGGGTATTAAATTTAGTTTAGATAAGAATAGTAGGGTGCTAGGACACTCGTAGAGTTTAAGTGTGTAAATAATTTTTTCGGGCAAGTTTAATGGTTACTTTATGCATTTTCTCTTAATTTTATTTTAAAATTTGTCTTACTTACATATCTCAATGTGTCATGTTAACAATATGCAAGTTTTAATTATGGGTTTATTAAAAATACCTATTTTTTTCTAAAAATTAATATTGTCTTAAGTGGTATGTCAAAAGTCAAAATGTCACTTTTTATGGAGCAGAGTAATAGCCTGTTTGGCCAAGCTTCTCAAGACAAAAAAAGTATTTTTTTTTCCCAAAAATATTTTTTTTCCTAATTTGAGGTGTTTGGCCAAGCTTTTTTGGGGGAAAAAAGTGCTTTTGGGAAGAAGCAGAAGCAGAAAAAAGTAGCTTCTTTCCAAAAGCAGAAGGAGAAGCAGTTTTGGCTTTTCTTCTTACCTAAAATACTCTTAACAAAATATAGTATATACCAAAATAACCCTTAAACCTAATACTTAGGATATTAATTTATAAATATTTCTTCTTATTTTTAGGAAACTTTCTAATATATAGTGTCTTTAAGGGTGAATGATTTTATATTTGTTGAAGGAATTTTAATATATTTAACTTATATTAAAAGAATTAAGTACTTTTTAATTTTATTTTCATATTTTACTTAAATAAAATGATTTTTTTTTAATTATTGCATGTAATAACAAAATTTTGATATTATTTANTTATAAATATTTCTTCTTATTTTTAGGAAACTTTCTAATATATAGTGTCTTTAAGGGTGAATGATTTTATATTTGTTGAAGGAATTTTAATATATTTAACTTATATTAAAAGAATTAAGTACTTTTT